TCATTATTATTATATCATTATTATTATATCATTATTATTATATCATTATTATTATATCATTATTATCATATCGTTATTATTATTAATAATAATTATTATTACTGTTACTACTTTGGCACCAATACTAATACTACTATTATTATTTCCTCCATCATTATTACTAACATTGATCATTACAATTATTACTGCTGTTTCTACCGCCTATAGTACGATCAATTTTTTTTGTTAGCTTTTCCGGAAAGAAATTTTCAAGGATTCCCATAAAGTTCACATTAATTTAAACATTCTATCGTAGGGGACTTATTTAGCATGACTGTTGCAGTATACACTGCTGATATGTTAAATTATAAAATAATATTAACTTGCATAAAAATAAACTGATATGATGCATTTTGCAGTTTTTTTATATGCATGAATAAATGCAAATTTTTGAGACGATAAATTAAATGAAATTTAATTCGCACATATTTTTTTTAATAAAAATTAATCTTAACTTTTGAATAAGTACATATGGCATATAAGGCATGATATTATTATGATTAATATATACTAAGTCCGAATAATATCACAATTGTTATCACAAATTCTAAGTATAGCATTTATTTTGCAGTATGATGATTACTGGTATGATTGTTATATGGGAACTTCACCACGTTCTCGAACTGATAAGGCACCATATAGCATGTGGAATTATCCGTACAGCTCTTGGCTAAGATATAAGAATCATCTGTAAGTAAATTAAGCTAGAAAGCTAAATGTTTGCAAAATAGATATCGATGAATGATTAATGGGTAGAATCAAGTGATGTAAAAATACCAACTGATCCGTATGATAATTAGTAGTGTTAAATGATAATGATGCTATTATATTCTTTAAAAAAAATCAACAATATGAGTAATAAATGATATCGATGATTAGTTTATTAACTTGTAATTATCACTATTCATCAGTCAATAGGAGAAAAAAACAGAAATAATTTTCAGATATGATTTGCCATCAATTTACCCATCGTACTATAGTATGCATCATTATGGATATAATGATAATGCACGCTATTTGTATTATCGAAATTATTTCATTTATTATTCACCCCTCAATCGTCAGTGGCTTACGACTACCAATAAATATGGGAATTATTCCTGAAGTAATCAATATTCAGATGGTCAATATCAAGAATTAAGAATTCGGTCATTTATTAATTTCATGAATTTCATAACTTCAGGAAAACTGGAATGATTTTCGAAATGATCTGAAAATGCCAACGTAACAATTGCTTATTGTAAAATTATGAATAATCAAACATAAATCGTTATTTAATAATCATCAATTAGTGAATAACAGATATTGTATTATTTTGTTCAGTTATAGTTCGAAAATGATTTATCGAACGATTAAATATGCGAAAATATTTCGTTTTCCTTACTTTCTTTTAAATTGTGTATTGTGTATTGCTTTTAGAACAATTGGCATAAGGAATTGAATTCCTTTAATGTAAGTTTAGTAAAAAAATAGTATTCTATTATAAATTTTATCCACTTTTTGCAATGCTCCAATCGACATTTTAAGAGTTTCAATTTGAATAAATGCTGGACATGAAAAGAGAGAAAAACGGATTTAATTTCCACACATTTATTGTTTAACCGATGGTTTAATTTCAACACATTTACTGTTTACTCAAATCCAGGATACCGTGGATGATCAAAACCAGATAGTGCCCAAAACCAAATAATGCATTATAATTTAGTATGATGTATTTTCCGATTTCAAGTATCCGATAAAGATTATTCAAGTCAATAAATTAATTAATTTTAGAGAATTATGAAACTTTTTAAGTATGATTATCACTCACTTAACTATTCTTGATATAGAATTGATAAAGACTGCAAAACGCACCAATGTGTGATATTTTATCTACTTAGGTATACATGTTCATTAACCTAGAGCAAAATAAACAAACAAAAATGAACATTTTTCTTATTTACAAACTATCGTACATCGAAATTTCAAAACCCATGCAAGATACGCCCTATAAGCAGGATAAGAAAGAATACACCGATAAATAAGATAATGGCAAATATACTATATATGTTCATCCTCCAAAAAAAAAAGCATTCCACAGCTAAGTTACAGTGATATACAATAAATTTGACAATCATACTTTAAAAAAAATAATGAATTGAGCAATGATTCTTCCATTATATCAGTTTTCTGGAAGATGACAAATTATCAAACAATCACAAGAATATAACCAGATAAATTTGTCCCATTATCATCATTGAAACGGAAGTATAAAAATTAACTAAAATGAAATTAACTGAAAAATTTACTAAGACTTTGTAAGACACTATCTTAATTTTTATAGCACATATGAATTTAATTTTTAGAAAAAAAGTTTAATGTTGTAAGATTGTTGCTTTCAACTGCAGAAAATTCCAAATGTTCTGAAAATGTATATCACAATGCAGAATAAGGAAAAATATAATTTGAATTCTAACTATAATATTTATTAAATTATAATGAGTGCCTTCGTAATTATCATTAAAGTCGTCTTCTCTTTTTGGAAAAATTCTGAAAATAAATCAAAAGAATATTGGACAAATGTATATAAAAATAACGATTGAGCTGTTCGAATCAAATAATTTCGATTGAATCAATGAGTTAAATGAAAACTACCAATCTTTTATGACTGGAAATGCTTTGTCGCTTTCTACTTCCACACTTTAATAACACCATCTCGACCTGAGGAAATCAAATACTCTCCACAGCACAAAAGATCGGTGATCGGACTTTTGTGACATACGGTCAACTGGAAAAATAGGAAATACATTAGCAAAAATAAATAATAATTAATATATAAAGTATTAGAAAAACAGAAAAATTTTCCGAAATATGAATTCTTTTTAATGTAATGTTTCAAATAAAGTAAAAATAAAATCACTCTGGAGTAAAAGAGAAAAAAACAGATCAAATTTTTAGTATTTTAACATTAAAATTTTGAATAAAAATCATGCCTGCACTTCAAGTGGATTTACAGCATAGAGCGGTTCGGCAGTTCTACCCATAACTGTTTCACTCAAAACTTCTATCGTATCGATTACGGATTTACTGTAACGAATGGAAGCGAAATGCTCGGACAATGACGAAGAAACGGCTTCTGTCGTTCGTCGCAGTGATCCGGAAAGGTAAAAACATTCATTTGGATCCGATAAATTATACGATCGTATGGCACCCAAACTGTCACCTGTGAAAATACGACCCGTCAAGGGACAAGTGGCCAATGCTGATGTCACATGCTTATCTTTCTGAAAAATGAAAATCTCGGCATACTTCTAAAGCAGAATATCTTGACAATATCAATTGATCGTAATAACCTTATAATTTTAAAAATAAAAAGTGATTAAGATAAAATCTTAGCAGAAAGCTTTAATTTTAGCTATATCACCGTGGCTTGAAAAAAATTTTAAAGTATTGGAAAAGTCTTTAAAATATTTTAAAATACACAACTGACACACCATGGAATACTGGAAAAGTTTGCTTGGAGAGGGCCATATAACGTGTGTTCTTTGGGCTGTTTCCAATTTCCAACGAGATAGTTCGAATGCACACGATGATGCTGTCCAAATTTCTGCACAAGAACTACCAGCATGCTCATTGACTGTCGGATACGCTGGCCAACAACGCATGATCCTGCATGCATCGCTTGGATGTGGCCAACTATTCACTTCAACTCCGAACCTTAAGTTATTTTTGAATTCATGTCTAATAAATAAGTTGCAAGAGACTAAAATAATTTAAAAAGTTGGATTTAATTATGTCATGTGGAACAAAGTAATTGAATAAATAAGAACAAATAAGGTGATCAACGCAATAAATCAAAAAAAAAACCACTGAACTGAAAATAGTGCTTAATGGAATAAAAAAAACAATATAAATCCAAGAAAAGTAGAAAGACCCAAACTTTTTTGTCACTAAATTATTAAAAAATAAGTATCCATAATGCAATAAATTTAAAAGGCTCTAAATTTTGATCTTACACGGCCCTAAAAATGATGATAATTAATAACTGGTTAATACAACATTTCATTTAGCTCAAATCTGACAGATGCAGTGATGGATTGCCATAGGAATAAAATACTTACCTTAGATCCCATAGAATAATATAACGACTAGTTGATGTAAGACACATCCAATTTTGACTTACTGGATCGATACAAAATGATGTTAGCAAACCGTATTCATTTTTGATTCGATGTCGCCAAATTACTTTAGGCTTACTGCCCAAAACTGCCCTCTCATACGTTGGTATCCTTCAAGGTTAAATTCTGAGTCACAAGTAATTAAATTTTAGCATAACCTTTTTTAAACTTTAAATTAGTAAGTCAAACGTGCCATTTAGCAAAACCAGCAGTATAATTTACACATTCGAAAGCGATAACAAAGACCAAGTATAATCTTGATATTGATATTTCTAGGTATGAGGTATTCTAGGTATGAGCTTTTAAGAGTAATCTTTAAGAGTAAATCACATTAGAACTATCACCCGAAATAAACATTCACCAGCAAAACAGACTGAAATGATTACTAAGCAACGATAAACTAATTCATATTTGTATTAAAACATCAACTTGCAGCAGATTACTTAAACTAAATAGTTGTTAACCTAATATTAGGGTAGAAAGTTTCTGTTGGACTGCAAGAAAATTTAACCGAGGTTCAAGTTACGTTAAAGTACATTTCCAGACCAAATATTAGACCAAACTTTTAATAATATCAAATTATATCATCTGCCTCTTCCAGAGTTTAACTCAAACAATACATATTGGAGAAGGAAGAAGAAAAACTAACTGCAGAAATCATTCAACGATATCTAAAGCAATAAATTGAGAACTAAGTAATTTTGATATATTTCGAAAAATCTCGAATGAAATCACCTGCAATCAAGGCAGAAAATGTTACTGTGATGAGTTAGAACATAGAGAAGATTATCAACGGCAATGATATCCACTGGTGGACCTTCTCCCTCTTTATCGAAACTAATCTTTGTTAAAAGCTGCATTCGTTCAGAATCGATAACACTAATACGACAATCCTCACTTGCAATGGCCAGATGAGATCCTGTTCGTCCCAAGAATTGCACTGAACTGATTTCGTGACCTAAATTTTGAAAATTTTGTAATCAATCTTTTCTTTTTCAAACACAATTTTTACGTGGTCCGCAAAAAAAACTTTTCGATATATAAGCGTACTCATACGCCTCATTTGAAGCGGAGTCTAAAAATCTAACAGTCTTAGCCTTAACTTCTTCTGTCAATTGTTAAATTGCTTTTAGAATTATGTAAAATGAACAATTAAATAAACATAGTAACCATAAAATTTAAACATTTTTAAGGACATTAACAATGGATATATTTCTGAAATCAATTGAAGTGCATAAACTATAAATCAATTTACTCACCGCTATAGGTGAATGTAGCATCGGCACGGACAATCATACTCAAATCTCCCTGTATTCGATTCAGTGACCATAGTTTCACAAGTCCATCAGCTCCAGCGCTTGCAAAATAACAACCATTTGGATTTTGTGCTAACCTAAAAAATGTATTTATCCCAATCTTTGTATCAACCATTCCAAAACTTCTTTTTCTATGCCGCCCCTGAACTGCTCAAATAGTAGGCTATTAAATGAGCAACAAATGAAAGCGAAAAAAATAGAAATTCAATGAATATTAAAAAATAAATAAGATTCATATGATATTTTTATTCAGAATAAGATTAACTTACTTATTAACAGCTGCTTGATGTTCATGTAGATGGGAAACTAAATTGCTACCAAGACGTATTGATGGTAACGGTAGTGAGGAGTTAGAATTAGCAGAAGAACTTCCAGAATAGAGAATAGGATGAAGTCGTTGACGCTTTGCATAACGTTCTCTTTTATGAGTTAGTAGCTCCGACAGCATTATTTTACAAACGGACGAACGTGCTAAAACACCTTTTATATACTAATCTTAAATGAGCCCCATTAATTTTCATTAGAATTCAAATAAGCTAAAAATTTTTGAAAGCCGATTAAAGAGGACTAATATGTTAACAAAAAGTCGTAAGAAAAATTATTATAAAATGCAAATTTCCAAAAAAAAAAGCATCAAAAAAAATTACGGAAAATTACCAGCAAAATTGTGTTCAATCCCAAGATGTGAGAAAGATGTTGAGAAAGTATATTCGGGGGATTCTCGTGTTTCGGAAGTAAGGAGAGAACCCGAAGGTTCACTAATATTTGATGTCAGAGTATTAACATCATCATAAATATTTCTCCATTCCGCAGGATAATCGCCATTTGCACTAACTGTCTTAAAAAAATTGAACTAAGTCAATGCCGCACATAAATTTCATAATCTCTTCGAAGTATTTTAAAAAAGAATCATTCAACTGGCTATTCCCTTTGTTGCAAATAAATTCTTATCTGGTGTTGAAGTGAACTTCAATCATTCTTCATTTTCATATCCTGTCCATCAATTATTACATGAGACAGGCTTATCAACAAAACATTAAGATGCAAAACAGTGTAAGAATATCAAGTTAAACTCATTGACAAATAATACGAGTTTTGATGTGTCACACATGAGAAAGAAGAGCTAAACTATATTATATGTAAAGCAATTATCGAAGGAAATAAGATAAAATGAAACTGATAACGTGAAGGCAGACCTTCACACATGCCGTTTTTGGATCACTGCTAAGATCGAATGAATGTAATTTCACATCCATTTTTGCCAAATCAATAACACCGAGTTTTCGGTTCAAGTTAGCACCCAAACTATAATTACAGAATTTTTGCAATGAATAAAGAACAAATATGGCCGATTTTTTCCTTTACATAATGTAAGTTAATCATCGAATAAAGGCTCAATAAAGAACAAACATTAGTGAAATACATCAACAGGGTTACCAAAATATTTGCGTCTGGTCTTATTATTTTAAATGGTAACCAATTACTATTGATACAAAAGTGTAGTGCATCACTTCAGACAAGATAAAATAAGTCTTATGAACATTTTATCTTATGACTTCAGTAAATGAACCAAGACTGACTCATAAAATTCAGAACGACTTATCGAAATTTTAATCACATACTGCACTGTTGATAACATGACTAAATTTCAATTCAATTTCTAATCATTTCATGAATTTCGAAAGTTTAGCAAGAATAAAATTACCTGGTACGAAAATCAATCATTTTAATTATCGTGTCCTCGAAACGAACTAATTTATCTTCAACATTATGATCCAACCCCAAATTTTCTAAATGTTTTAAGCAGGATTCCAATTGTGCCGAAACTGGTTGATATCTGAAAAAATGAAAAATTATCTATTCATTAACTTTTATCGTTTTCACTATCTCACTTTTATTATGATAGGGAATGATTCAAATTTATTATATTTTCCTCGGTAGCTAAAAAAAGGAATAATTTTCATAAAATATATCGGACTTTTACAGATATTAACGAATAATTCTGTTGAAATTTCATAATACACTGAAAGTATTCATAATGTCATAAAATAAAACTTTTTAAGTTAAGGGAGGGCCTCAGCGCTGATTACAGCGCTAATGATACTAATATATAAACGGATTGCCATGAGATAATGACATTGATATATAAATATCAATGTCATTATCAAATGGCAAGAAAAAACATATCTTCTTAACAAATGCTTTGTAAAAAATTTGACGATAATCAAAATTAAAATACGAAACAAAAAGCGCAAACTTTTTGCTGACTGCAAGCATCGAATCTGGACCACCATCCAAAGCCATATATATCTGTTTGTCTGCTATAAAATCGAGCAATAATTTGACAGGTGAAACGTTCACTACGTAGTTCCAAATCGGACGTGGAATATGTGGCTTTAGAGAAGCAGCAATTACAAACTACAAAAAACAAAATCAAATATACAATTTGCCTAGATATATTCATAACCCCTAAGATATATGAGACCTTAACAAATAATACTTTATATCGACTAGCCAGAAAAAGATCCATTTAGTTAACTTGAGCCTTATATATTCTGTCTCATATTATAGCATCCTATATTTGATTAATTAATTGCTGGTTAGGCTAACAGTTTTTGCTGGTTAAACTA